TTAATATACTATTAATTTATAATATGGTTGTGAATTAAAGTTAACATTTTACTCCAGGGACAGGATTTAGGGTATAGTACTAGTTTCTTAGAGGGCTGAGCGTTACGTGTTGCATGGAGCACGACATACCTTTTGGGTGCAAGGCACCATAACACCACAGGATCTCAGACCAAGATAAGGGCCCAGGGGAAGGGTGATAAAGTTCTGGCAGCTAAGAATATAAGAGAAACTACTACAAAGGGGGTGACTAAGAAGAGAGGAGAGGAAGTGTGTGGCAAGTATGCTAGTGACTGCATGTCCTCCAGAATGAATAATGAGTGAGGTAGTAAGTGCTAACTTGAGAGGGGGTGGCAGTAGGGTAGAGAAGAGAAGTGGAGGGGTAGACCCAATCCTGTGTACAACAACTGTCAGTAATAATCCTATTTGTATCTGACTAGGCAGCCTCCTAGAATAACAGCAGAACAGAGATATCAAGCATAGTGTGTAAGCTATTCTCTCCTACTGTAAACTATATTCCTAGCTGGTCTGTCAGAGGTAGAAAAAGGGAGTTGCTGATGAAGCTAATGCCTAAGTGAGGAGGAAAAGGAAGGGGTGAAACATTACAAGAATGAAGGAGCCCAACCAGGGAGAGAACTAAGAGAGTTAAGAAATAAATCAAGCCCTCAAGTGAGAGGGGAAGCAAGCCCACCTCCTATAGCCAAGGCTAGATGGAGGAAGATAGAAAGGGTTGGTGGTGGTGGATGATAAAAGCCATGATAGTAACTATAGAGTTGAGTTTTCAATCACTAGTGGTATAGTAAAGACAGAAAATGATCTTAAAGCTAGGAAGACACCTTGATATTTATATTCTACATCTGGGTGGTCACAAGCTACATCCCATCCCTTACTGACTATGTACCTGCTATACTAACAATTTAGTGTCTTCAGAATATGAACTCTATTTGACCCTGAAAACTAACTTCTGTGCTCTCTTTCTGAGCAGAGTAATCAGCTCCCTCAAAGGAGTAGTCAATGACTTTTCCAGGTATATAGCTTAGAGTATATAATAAACATAACTAACTTGACCAGTGAGTTATTATTAATCAATTGTGAACCAGTCTCTGGATAACTCTGGTTCCCCTGCACTTTTAAGGGATCTGTATACTACTTCTCATAGTATTGATAGTAAGAATTACTTGACTTGCAGAGGTCATAGCTCCATAACTAATTGACTAATCTGATTCAATTAGGTTTTATCTTATAGAACAGAGCTTCTTCTGTGTTATCCAGCAGGAGTTCCATAGTCATATTCCTCTTATCTCTGCAGAATAGACTGCATAGATGCCTTATCACTTCATCTGATAATATCTTATCATCACAATAACTATGGTGGGGCCTGGAGTTGAATACCTGATCTTATGTATTTGATCACCTACTGTACTGATTACACTTCTATGTATAACAGGGTTGTTTAAAGACTCTAAAAGTATGATTCTTATCATAGTGGAGGTGTTCTGGAGGTAATAAACTATGAGGAGCACCCACAGGTCCTTCCACTAAAGCAGCTCACTAAGGGACTACTGTAGGCCTTGGTACTTTGTAACTACGAGAGATAGAACTTAACTGAAGAGAGTAGATATCTATAGGTACTTGTATATATGATTACCTATAGGCAGAAAGCTAATTAGTTAGCCCTCCCAAGGAACCAGGCAGTTAGCTACTCATGAGATACTAAAATGCAAAAGTTTTCACTTCGGTAGATGTACTTGTAATATGCTGCACAGACTAAGATACATATAAGAGACTGCAGCTAAAGTGTACTAATATCTAAGACCCTTCAGTTATATGGTAATAGTAACAGACAAGCCCTAGCAGAGCAGGGAATATATGTAGTGGTTGAGGTACCCTAATGGAGCAGTTTCTGGTATAAGTCTGACTACTTACAAATTATATGAGAACTCTCCTACTCTAATACAATTAATATCCTCTTGAGATCTTAATTAAGTAAAGCTTTAGATTAACAGTATTAAGTTTTACTGTTTACTTTATTTTTTTACATCTGCAAGAGCTCTATACATAAAGTTTTGAAGTTTAGTACTGTCACATTATCATCCTTGAAATCCATATTCCTAAGAGACCTGCTGTTACATGAATTTACTTTAATAATATATCTTGCTTCTGAATTCTAGCCCAATAACTGTATTTAATATACCTTCAGTATTACTAGCAGCCCAGTATTAGTTGCAGTCTGGAGTGTGATTAGATATAATTAGAATTCCAAACTTGTATTTCTTCAAAATACAGTATGCCATAATAGTATTGTATCTACAGACTATCTTATGCTGATATAGTAGACAATTGTAGTATCTGTATTCTATAATTAATTGGAGATTTGAGTCTACTGGTAGTTAATATATTGAAGTTTCATCTCTATAGTGTAGAATAAAACTGGTTCTTATTCATCTAAAGAAAGAGTTGAATATCATACTTCACTAGCAATCAACTTTATTTTCCTAACTTTAATTTAATTCCATTGAGAACATATAGTGAATTCCCGAACAACGTATTAGAGTAAGAGACTACTACTTCCCTGGAACTGATGTCAGACTATATAGCAGGAATGGGATAGGCCTGAAACCCAGAATTGAAATAAGGTAAATTGATTGTATTCCTAACAGACTCAGTGAATGTCTGAATCAGCCGGGTTTGCAGACTCATTCTGAATTGCTCAAACTTCTCCTCTCACTCTTATATATAGTATCAGGTTTCTTTTGTTATTGTTGTTGAGAATTTATATGTTTTGTCTGTGGAACCTCCATTCTACTCATGACTTTTTGCGCCAAGCTCGTACTCAAGCAAAATTATTAGAACCTCACTCTCTAAGAAATATGCCACTGACCGTCCGGGGGCAACGAAGCAATGGGGGTGGGAAGCGAAAAAAAACAATTGACAGTACCCACTACGCACCCAGAATCCTCTGGTCTCTGTCGTTCGTTCTCCCCAGCAGCCCCCCCCCCCCCCAGTGCCCATTCAGTACTGAGCAAGTACCGTACAAACTTCTCACCATAACCCGGACTTTTGAAATTTCACAGGCAGAGTTGGATGGCAAGCATCCGGTATTCGAGTAGGTCCGGGGCCATAGGTTAATTGTGCCTCACATACAGTCTTTACGCAAAATATCTATCCCTTGCGGGTGGTCTGTAACCAGCGCGCAACGCAGGCCAGTTGTAAATATCAGCGTGGGTTACCTTACCGCCTTGCCCATCCGCCGAGCCGACAAGGCGCTGTCTGCGGTGCATGTTTCATGGTTGTCGGACGATATCTCGTAACGTACCGCAAGCAAACGATCTTGACGTATGTAGAGTGTTCTGGTGCTCGGCCCGAAAAGAGCGTCAATTTTTTCTTGCCCTTCAACCAAAAAAGCTCGCAAACCCTCCATTGTATACCGGCCTATCATACTAATACCGGTACTCGACTTCCGAGATAAAATTGAAAAGGGGAAAAATAATAATCTACAATTAAGGTACACCCCACCTGCATCCACGCGAATTGGGGGAACGCCCAACAGGGGTGGAGATAAAGAAAACAAAGAGAAAAAGCCAAACACATAGCCACGTTTTTCCTTCCACCCACCAAGTATACACGAATGGGAAATACACCAGACTCGATTCAACCCTACCCGTCAACCCGAAAGCCCCCATTAACGCCACCTTCGTCTCTCCCTTACTCAATTTTAATGCTGCCGTAGATCTTCCTGACAAATAGCCAACAAGAGAAAAACCCAATGGTGCCTGTCAAAACAAAGAACAAGAAACCGATGAGAGCGCTGTAACCCAAATAGAGCACGTTGCTGGTAAGGCCTCCGAGCCTGAGTTTGGAGACCCAGTAAATAATAGCGTTGAGGAAGACGTAAATAGCACTTGCTCCGGCAGTGAAGAAGGACCGCCATTGCCAATGATAGTTTTCTGAGCAGAGGAGGAAATAGATCATCAAAACAGTAACAGTAGAGCAGGTCATAATCTAGGCCGCATTAGTGTACAGCCGGTACTGGGATGAGGAAGCGACCCACCATGATACCATAGCAGACAAATAAGAACCCAAACATGTAGTAGACCTTGCGGATCCAGACAGAGTCCATGATAAAGTAGAGCTCGACAAAGATCGCGCCAAAGGGCAGGATACCAACAAGAAGCATGCTTGGCACCGGCTTTAGATACATTACTTGATCGGGGATTTGGCGAGGGATTTGATTTGTGCGCACAGGCGAGGAGAGTGGCTTCCCATATCATATAAGCCAGATTCGATAAATATCATAGGAACAAAAGACTTACAGGAGATTTAAATCCTAGCCAACTACCCACGAAGCTCAATGGCACACTAATAACGAACCAAATCCCAACAAGGGCCAGCATTGTTGTGAGTGGAACCGCTCCTGATGAGTGCTCGTATATGAGAAAAAAGTTAAGGAGGAAAAATCCTCCAAAGACGATTCCAGGAACAAATAGTGGGGTCAATATGATATTTCTTTTCCATGCCTCTCCCCCGAACGACTTGTAACTTCTTGCAGAGACATATCCACCAATGAATCCGAACAGAGTATACAACAGAACCATGGCTGTCCCGAGGGACCCACGGTTGGAAGGTGATAAGAAGCCGAGGAGGGCAAAGATGATAGTAACACCTGTCATGAAAAACAGTTGTGCCCCCGACCCCAAGAAGACTGAAAGTAGCATGGGATTAGTAGGGGAGCGGAAAACGTCGCCGTGCACCAGCTTCCAGCCAGAGTCGTCCTGGACGTCCTCATCAAGATCCAATTGATTATAACGGGCAATATCCTTGCGGAGTGCTCGCAAGAGCACCATTGCGACCATACCGGTCAGGAATACGACGATGATCGCCGAATTAACAAGGGAAAACCAATGTATCCGTGGCTCAACTACATGTAGATATCTATCCCATCTTGTTGCCCAGACAGTACTTGAGAGGCTCCAGAAGACTGAATAGGTGAAGACAACCTCAGTTTGGCCGTTTTCGTTAAGAATGACAGCTGTCTTGTCATCGCAGTTGGCATTTCCCTCGCCATCCACCTTGGGTGAAACGGATTCTGGTTTAACAACCACTCCGACAACACGGAACTGGTTGGTGTTGCGGCCCCGGATCTTGTGGTAGTCGATGAATATGTTGTAATGGTTGTTGAGGTGGGCAACTGGTTCGCGTGCATCTCCCTCCTTAACAACTCTTCCGAGAGGAAATCCCTGGGAATAGTACCCATCATCATCATCCAACGTTGCTACCGGAAGCCCGTCCACTAACCAATTGATATTGTAGTTCTGCCTGATCCGCCGATTGACAAACTTTGACTTCATCTCTTCGTACTTCCTAGTACAGAGGTTTTTGCAGGTTTCATTTTTGGTCATATAGAGGTCAAAGGGCGAATCGAGGATACGATCCCCAAACAGAATAGATCCAAGGGACCCGGACACATCCTTAGGACCGTCCTTAGGACGGCAAAAATTGAATGCCGTGTGGTAATAGTCGAATGAAACGATCGAACTCAGCGGTCGTCCTGGCACAGGCGCCGGCGTCAGGCTATTTACGTTCAGAGCAACTTTAGCGCCAGAACTGTAGTCGGTTGGGGCAACTCCTGGAAGGTAAAAGGCGGATGCAATTTGAAGCAGCGAAAGTACCCCGACTATTGGGGCTAACGGAGGGGCAAAGAGCATGGCAGCGGGGGGCATCCTAAGTTCCGGCCAGCTCCGGAAAAGCAAGGGCCTGACCAGTTAGAGGGATTTCAGGGGGAGAGAGTGTAAGATATCTGGCGGTATGCTCGCGGGGTTTGGATAAATGGTGGGAGCAAAGGTGAATATTGGATAGGCTTGTGGGGAGGGTGGTAAGAGTTGAAAAGGATAGGGGTTCGTGGATATGGTTTTCGGTAGGGCTCAGCACAAGAGTCCGCTAAGGATGCTGATGACGCGGTAGGCAGGTATGCTGTGGCAACGCGCTGAACACGGCTTCTTCTAGAGGATGATAGGACGGCGTATTAAAAGTTTCAGCCGAGATCAGGGACGAGGGGAATCGGGGGTGGGTCTGTCTCCTGCCATCGGATAAAAATGATTTCAGAACTGTAGTCTCGCAGGAGATTCCTTACCCGGTCCGGCCTGGCAAGAATCAAGCTTTATGCCAAGAATACGGTGATGCTCTGCTTACTCATCTGCTCTTGGCCTTAGGAGGGTCCAACTATGGCTTTTCCCCGCAGGAGTTAGAGGGGAACAAACCCGCGAGACTGAAAACGGGAACGGTACGTGTTCCTGGCAACAACCTACCTGGAAACAGGGAGGGCTAATATGCTGTTGGTGCAGGGGGTGGGAAGAATAGCAGAACAGGGGGAAAGTTGGCGTTCTGATTTGTCTTTTGAAATGATAAAAGAAAGCAATTAACTATAGTGCAAGAATCGATCATGCTATCCTACACTGTGTTGCCAAGGCCCCCTAGCATGCTACCCACCTCCAAGGTATCACTGAGTTGGGGGCCTGGGTCTCCTATCTGGTCTGATGCTGAACTTATCCAAGGCCTGGCCCAATTCATCTTGGCTACCAGAACCAGGTTTCCATCCTCCATGCCAGTGGTTAGGGCCGGGTCTGCCTCACTGTCCCCAGCACTCACAACTCCCCCAGGGGGGTCCCCATGGGAGTCCCCTCCAAACAGCTCCTGCTTCAGTTAGCTGGACAGGGTACTTTACTTTGTTCTTTTCAGATTGTCATTGCTGGCAGTTAGTCAGCAGGGTTACTTATCTTGTGTTTCTGGTTTGGCTGGCTTAGGGTGTTAGCCGAGGGGGGATTTTCTTTACTTTTTTATGTTAGTCATCATTGGTGATATGGGGAAAGTTGTTTTTCCAGATTGGAGGAGTGTGAGCTGCCAGTGTGTGTGATGAAGTTTCTTTTATTATTGCATTAGAATTAAGGCTTTTTGTATGATACTCGTGCCAAGGTTGTGACTAAGTATCACAACCACTGGTTGCTTACTCGCTCACAACCTGGGCACTCTCAAGAGAGTCCCTGCCAGCTTCACATGACTTGCCAGCTCAACATAACTTATGGCTCAACCCAACTTTTTAGTGGCTTAACATAGCTTTTGTGTGACTCAACACAACTTTTCTGTGGCTCTGCACAACTTTTTAGTGGCTCAACACAACTTTTTTGTGGCATAATATTCCTTTTCATGACTTCATATAACTTTAAAGTACTAAGAAAATTTATAATTATAAATAACTTTGCTGTTCCAAATAACTAAATACTGTGACTAGTGGATAAATATAATTTTAGAGTTTAATATAACATTATAGTACAAGATAACCAGACAGCTGAAGATAGCCTTGTAGTTTAATATTGCTTTGAAGCTTAATAGAACTCTAGATAAGTTTATAATTATATAAAGAATAGTAGGAAAACGATTTTAACTTATAAAAAAAATTATTAAGGCCCTGTTCGGCATGTACCAATAAAAATATATCATAATAAAAGTTGAAAATGGCATATATGCTAATAAAAAATTTCAGTGTTGAAAAAATATATAGGTGTTCGGCAGCGAGTTACAACAATAGGTAACCCTAAAACAGTTGTCATAAAATAAACATTAGGGCAAATGCAAAAAAAATAATAATAAAAAGTGAATGTTTGCTTCCTAGATCTTCTAGTCAACAATACCACCTATTAAACCACACATCCAACTACACATTAAACCACATCTCTCATTCCACTTCGATTCATTCAACTCTTTGGTCCGCTGCTTGCAGCTTTCTATTGTCATGGTGCTAATTCAGCCCTTTTCCTGTGGCAAGTTATTTATTCCCATACTATTAGTACTCTATAATACTTGACTTTATATCAGCTAACAGATAATGTTAGAAGAAATAGAGGATACAAAAATGGGAAACAGTGTCTGGGTTGAAGATAGTAAAAGGTTCTTGGTTGAAGCTCTTCTCAGACATGTTGAGAATGGTGAACGTGGAGAAAATGGATTCAAAAAGTCTGTTTGTCTCAGTGTTGTTGCAGAACTCAATGCAGCCTATAAGGAAGTTAGTACCAAACCTTTCACAGTTGCTCAAGCTAAAAGCAAGGAGGTTATAGTAAGTTAATAATTATCAATTCTACTCAGAGTATTGAATTTTCTTATAGAGAATATATAAGCTGATAACAATATAGCTTAAGAAGGAGTTTGATATTGTTCATGCGGTCCGTCAAAATTCTGGTTTTGGATGGGATGATGCTTAAGGTTTGCCAACTGCGTCAGCTGAAGTGTGGAGAGTTTATCTTGATGTAAGTTTGTCTCTTGATATTTGCATACTAGTCTTATAAACTAATTATATGGAATTATTTAACAGCATTATAAAGAGGCTGCAAAGTACAGACATAAAGGGTTTCCTTTATATGACCAGCTAGCTAGCTTGTTCCTTGGAGTCCGAGCTACGAGCATGTTTGCTCATACTGCTACTATTCAACCTCAGATTGAACAAGCTGAACGTAGTCAGGAGGAGCACAGGAGAACCACTGAAATTTCCCAATCACATTCTGTGGAGAATATGTCAAGAGTTCCTAACATTGATTCCCAGAGCGGGCTGGGAAATTAGGAGAATCTGATTGAGTATAGCTCTCCACTTACGAGTTCACAACAAAATCCTCTTTGCCGTCAGGGATCATTATCTGACTCCATCGATCCTGTACTTGATACTTCTCAGGATATCAGTCCGCCAACTAGAAAGCGACCTAGACCTACCAAGGTTTCTCAAACATCACTCAGTAAAGCACTTACTCATGCAACGGATGAAATCGTATATCAGCAGGAGCATGGAATACCTTCAAAGTATGAAAGAGCAATCAAAGTCCTCGAGGACTGCTATTTGGATGAGCTGTCTGTAGATGAGATGGTCAAGACAGTTTCTCTCTTTGAGGACAGGGCCAAGGCCTGTGTGTTTATTGGATTATCACCTGGAGTAGTTAGAGATGCATGGATCAAGCATCAAATTGGAAACTAATAGAATGACTTGTAGATATACATACTTTACCAGTTTTAAGATTGGATTTTTTTTTTTCTTCCTATAGCTAGATCAGAAAAAGGAACTTTCTTTTTACATACATTGACCCTGTAGTGAAACTCATGCCTTCCCAGATATAACTAGTAGTCCTGCCACATTTTATCGGCTATCTGCTGCCTGATTTGCCCCATAGCTGGGGAAGCCTGTTCCTGTTCCGCAGCTACTTCCTCCTAACTTTAATCATCAGTATCCCCATGGTCACTCTCTCCCTCTTACAGTCTATCACTCAACCCCTCCAGTTCATCTTGACTATGGTCTTCATAGTCTAATAGTTAGCTTTGTATTACAGAATGAATATTTATATTTTACAGAATGAATGAAATATTTAGCATGCAAACCTTCTTCATTTAATTGATCTATAAAACGCTCTGCTTCAGGAGATTTCTTACGAATAAGGTTATGAAGTGCAGCAAGTGCTACTACAAGTTTTACTTGAGTAACCATTGGAAACTCAAGTTGCCCTCGCAGGATAGAAAACTGACGCTTAAAGATTCCAAAGGATCTTTCTATTACATTTCGTAATTGAGAATGTTGGAAATTAAAAAGCTCTTCTTTATTTGCTGGCCTATTATTACTTGAAATATAGTTAGAACTTATATTTCATTAAGTAGTACACTTGTAATCCCTTATGATTCCAACTTACCTTTTATACAACTGATAATGCTTACACAAGTGATATCTAACCGCACGATAGGGCGTGAGGCAATGATTGCTCGGAGTATACCCGGTATCTCCCAGATAGTATTTTCCATCTGGAATCACAAATCCCTTTGCTAGAGCATCTCTAAAAACCCTTCCATCATGTGCGGAGCCCTTCCAACATGACAAAACAAAGCAAAAGTACATGCTAAATGTATGTGCGGTAAAAACATTTTGCGATACCAGTCTATTACGATTACAAAAGCATGGGAGCATGGTTTTCAGGACATGAGCGGTGATATGGGTGTCATCCATGGCTCCAACAGTATTCTGAAAGTATGGATAGAACTTAGGATTGTGCTGAATCTCATACGGGCATTCATTGGGTGGAAGCATAATAAACTCATTGGCTAATTCTACTAGGCCATCAAGGACACTGTTGAAATATCTAATTAAGGACACATCAGCTATCCAATCACTATCTAATATGGTATAAGGCTAAAGTAATAAGTAAGATGTCAAATATCCTTACCTGCTTACAGTATCTCCACTTTTTTGAAATCTTTCTTGGACCTGACGGTTAGATGCACTGTGGGATACTGCTCAGACAAACATAGCCACTTGTTCAGTCACAAAAATATGTTGTGTGCTTCTTAAGTGGCTACCCTGTTCCAACAAACTGCACAAATGTAGAAATACCCGCTTTGACATACGAAGAACCTCATGCAAGCGCTTCTCACTGGTAGTTGCTGATAATAGTTCCACAGTATAGGCACTACCAGTTAGAATAGAAGTATGGACTCTTAGTGCTTCGAATTGATGATCAACCTACTCCTCGACGTTGGCGATAACTTGAAGCAAATTGATATGCTTACGGTAGCACACTTCATTCGTTTCGGACATATCAGAATCCGAGTATGAACAGCTCTCATCAGAGTCGAAGGTAGTGAGCGCCAGGCTACTCTGAGGCAGAAAGTTTTCTGATTGTTGTTTATTCATGATAAAAAGTGGCTGATAGTTGAATGATGCAAATTTGAATGATGTATAATCTATTAGCTCTTTGCTACAAATAATGTAATGTTACTCTTGATTTTATTTGTCATAACATGTATCATATTTGATGATTCAAACCTAGCCCTACAAGAAATACATACAATAAAAATTTATAGAGGTAATAAAAATATATCGCGATATAATGTCAGTTACCGAACACACCCCTATACAAAAACTTTAATATGCCAAAATTTATGCTATAAAAGTCACTTTTATGCTATAAAAGTGACGTGCCGAACAGGACCTTAATTATATTCTATTATTTCTACATACAGCTTGCTATCAAGAGACCTTTATCATTCTATGCCTTTATTGCCTGTTTGTTGTAG